CACACTTCTTGTTATATTCTTGTCTCTGAGTGGAATTTCTGTCATTTTAACACATATTTTCCTGTGTCCATATGCCTTGTTTGACAGCAGAGGTTTTGTGAAATGTGTGTAAGTAAGTATATATAGTGGAAAAAGACAAACTAAATTGTTTCCCTCAAAGCTGAAGACAAATATACAGCAAGCTGACCATAGCTGCTGTTCTTTGTGAAGGAGGAAACTGCTAACTTTTTTACAGCAAGAGTCTGGGTGTTTGATAATTAAAGGTCCAGTGTGTAACATTTAGGAGGCTATTGTCAGAAATTGAATATTATATTCCTAACTATGTTTTCATCAGTGTAATCACTTGAAAATAAGAATCATGTTTGTTTCTACAGCAGCCCAGAACAGACAAACCAAACACATTCCCCAGGGAATGTAAAGAAGTAGCATTACTGTGTACTGGCAAGGGTTAAATATAAAAATTAAACTAAAGTACTTTCCCAACCTTCTCCAGCTCCCACTTGGGGTCACCTGAAATACAAATGGGATTGCAAGAAAACTTGCTAAATAACAAAAAAAGCAGTTAGTTAGTTCCACTAAAACCTGGTGGAAATGCAGACTGGTTCACTAGATAGCACCAAGGTTACAAGAATCTTAAACGGAACCTGCTCAAGAATCATAGCCAATTTTGTCGAAAAGAGGCCTCTGTGGATGATGCATGCTTGATCACAATGGTTACACACAAAACTTGTGGAAACACAGGGTGGTTAGCTAGATAGCACCAAAGTTCAATGATTTATACTTATATATATAAGTTATATAGTTATATATATATAAAATAACTTTCGCAACTGCAATTCCAAATCAAACTGGTTCAACCGTGTATATGAAAATGAGCAAAGGTGAAAATACACACCACTATGTTATTCTATTGAAAGCATCAGTTTAACATGGATGTTAACATAGTAGTCCCCCCGACAATCTTTCCCTTTAGGTAGGTTGGAGACCTCGGCATTAACGTAATATGGCCAGTGGATGTAAATATTAGTGCTAGGCAACGATTACAATTTCTAGTCGCAGAAAATCATGTCATCAATTTTTTATCATTTTTTAGATATTATCTTTGTTGACACAAGTTATTATTTTATGGCTTTATATGTTGGGTCTCTGTAAATAATGTTATAAGGAGTTCGGTCTAGACCTGCTAAAAGTGTCCTGAGATAACTTCTGTTATGAATTGGCG